ACAATCGAGGTACTATTTTATTACTATACTTACAATTCTTATCCTCGAGGTACTCTTGAATACTATAGTAAGATTTGTTTATTAATAAAGATTTCAATTTAGTTTGAAATATACAAATAGTTTTGGTTGACCGTATTTCTTCAGGTAACTTGTTATAGATTTGTATGCTTCGGTATTCTGGGCTATTTTTATACATTTGCAGTCTAGGCGCAGGTAGTAGCTACCTAGGTGCAGGTAGTTTAATAGTAGCTACCTGGTATTTGGGCTTGATTAATTTGTAGTGACGAGAACTTTACACCTAAATGGGGTGTGACTGTTAATAGGGGCCTGATGATGAAGGATTATGATAGCTAGGGGAACTCCTCAACGACTGACAGTAGCTACCTGGTGTTTGGACTTGATTAATTTCAAGTGATGGGAACTTTACACTTAAATGGGTTATGATTATCATAAGGGGCCTGATAATGAAGGAGTATGATAGCTAAGCGAACTCCTTAACGGCTGATAGTAGCTACTTGGTGTTCGGGCTTTACAAATTTGTTTTGATAAAAACTTTACACCTAAATGGGGTGTGCTTGTCATTAGGAGCCTGATAATGGAGTAGTTCGATAGCTAAGGCTATTTATAAACGATTAATAGTTACTATACCAACCTATTTAAAACTTGTGGCACCGACTTCTCACCTATCAGTGGGTGGGTAATCTGTACTTAAGTAGGGGAAAGTGGTCACCCTTCGTACGCTTTTTAGATTTTATTTTTTTAATTTATGAATAATTGTCGAATTTATCTAGTTTATGTACCTAAGTGTAACAAACATATTGTAGTTTGTTACAAAAAAGTCCGAAACTATTGTGTTCAAAGGTTAAAGAGTTATAGTCATTTTTCTACGAGACGAGATTTGTACGAACGTACCCCACGTACGGGGTACGTTCGTACAGTAGGTGGGGTACTTTCATACGCCATGGGGTAGATTCATACAGGGTAATTAAAACGTCTATTAAAGTCGTAATTTTTTTTATTATTAATTAAAAAATATTCATTTATCAAAGAACTAACTTAATAATATTTGACTTGACTCATAGGCGATGTATTTCTTTAGAAAAATAACAAAGGATTAAATCCTTCATCCTTAGTTTACTTATTGATAATTCTAAACTTTATAATCAGTCTAATCATTTAGATTTTATAAAATTAGATCTTTACAATCATTTTTTAAGAGATTCTTGTACAGTCTTTGACAATCTAAGCTTAAAGTAGGGAATCATACACTTGGTTGTTACTTTGGAAGTTATTTTACATTATAATTATTTAAATTAACTGCAAACGTGAAAAGTCTAGCCATTCTAGCTGTACAGCCCTCTGGTGGTTTCGGATCAGGGGAGGATCATGGCGACATCGGTGATATACAGAATGTGTATGTCTTCTACATCAGGGAAAAAAAATGACCATGATGATCCCGGTTTCTTCCGAAGATAAGATATTTTCAGCTCTGTACCCGAATAATGACTGAGAACTTTCCCGACGTAATAAACAACAGAAGTCTTTTTTGCAAACTTGACCAAAACAAAACAATTATTTTTGATTTTTTCTGCTGTCACATTTAAATTATTATTAATACTGCGATCATCAGTCTCTTCGTCCGTTTCGAAATCGATTGGAGATGTTGAACTCTCCCGCAAGCTAAATTGCGATCCTTCAGATTCCTCTGAATCTTCGTCACTTTCTATTTGCTGTTTCTCTTTCTTTTGTCTTGAATCAACTTCGTTCAACCTACGTTTCACTGCTTTGGCTCTGGCTTTCCTTTCCTGTTCTATTTTTTTCAATTCTTTCTGTCTGTGTTTCTCTTCTAGTTCATTCTTTTCAGGTGTATCTGTATATACGGGATTTACCAGGTTTTCTTCCTTTATTGGTTTTTCTATTTCTAACAGCTGTAGGATAAGGTCTTATAGCTTCTGGTGTTATGTTGCACACTATTTGCTACCCTTTATACTGATCCTTGTTTAAAAAATTAGGTTCCTAATTAGCAAAAATTCAGAAACTGCGCACTTGAAAATCTTAGAAATACAATGTAACAAACCTTAATTTTGATGCAACATTCCAGAATGCTAGGTGCATGGCGCAAGCAAATTATTATTATTTTTCTGAATTATTATTGTAATTTTTATAATCCTGTAATTTCATGATTCATGCATAGCATTTGTTTGTAATTTTGGCGGGCAAAACAAAAAGCATAGGCTCTTGGAGACTTGGAATCTTCACTTGTCTATAACATGTTCTAACATTTTGTCTTTGGTCAGTATGAATTGTTATATGGTTCTGTTTTGCATAATTGATACGCTTTACATCTTGTTCGCATCAAAATTCTAACTGCTCTATGAAACAAATTATAAAATAAATATAATGATCAATTGTAACTCGAAAATGCCGACTTATCTTATTAGTATATTATCACCTGTAGTGGTACCATAGACAATACAGTTCCATAGCTTTACGTAAGTTTTTCGCTTCTCTACTTTAAAAACAAATAAGTCTAACTATTAGTCTATGATTAAAACCTGTCTGTAAACGTGAGAGAGATTGAATTGACTCAAATTATTTTTCATACGATTATCGTTAATTCAGCGATCAGTTAGTTCTTTAACTAAAAATTATTTATATAAAATTTAATATAATCATTAGTGATGTCATATCAATTGTATAGAAATACCACGATCGGAAATACTCTACAAGAAAGCCTTGACGAATTGATACAGGTATTGTTTACATTGTTTTGTAAAAAATAGTTATTAATGATTGTGCTTTGTTGCTATATAATGATTGAATTTACAGTATGGACAAATAACACCAGCGTTAGCAGTGAGGGTTTTGTTGCAATTCGATAAGTCGATCAACCAGGCGCTATCTAACAGGGTGAAGTCAAGACTTACCTTCAAAGCAGGAAAATTAAATACATACAGGTAATTCGATACTTATTTAGTATAGCACTTACACCCGAAATGTTGGTAATCAAATGGTCAAATAATATCTTTTAGACCTTGTGGGAATGGTTTCATCGATTTTTTATTTACAAAGAATGAAATACTATATAGTATGCACCGTGTGTCACAAGGACTAACATCATAATTTCACTACAGGCTCAATATTTTAGTTTTTTACAAGAGTCCAGATAGTGGTCTTCACATTTCTAATAGAATAGAAGTATTGAATATTTTGCTAATATTTTCATAGTTAAAAAAATTATTCATATTTTTTTTTTCAGGTTTTGTGATAATGTATGGACATTCATGTTGAACGATGTAGAATTTCGGGAAGTACAAGAGGTTGCAAAAGTAGATAAAGTCAAAATTGTAGCGTGTGATGGCAAAAGTGAGTATTACGAATACATGGACACACTAAAATTAATATGGTTCTTAAATTATTACAAATTGAACACAACAGATAGTCTGAAATATTTGTCTTTATTTCACAATAATTGTATAATTCATAAAAAAACATGACAGTCTAACCATGGTGCCTGTGCCTTGCCACTAACAACAAATGTTATCATTGAGCTGCAACACAGGATTGTCAAGCCATCTGGCGACTGCTGAATAGAATAGAGTCATCAACACCTACCTTCCCATAGGTGTCATAAATGCTGCTGTTGTTGATGTTCATGGCAGGGTTGTCTGAAATTGTTTCTAGTGATGGATTATTTGCTTGTTTCTTACACTAATGAGATTTGACATAAGAACATAACATCTAAGGTACAGGCTCGGCCTAGTTTAGATGTTAGTATTCATAAACTGTGTGTCTAAGGTTTTTGTTACAATAAACACTTTTTATTTTATTTATTTATTATTTAAATAATGTGTAAAGTTCTCCTCTGGTGTTGCAAGTGTCCATGGGTGCTACTGATCGCTGACCCAGAGCCTTTCAGAGAGAATTATTACACTGTGAAAAGGATCATGGGTACATTAGTACACCAACAGAAATAAAATGAAATGTGATGTCTAGATCACATGAATATAAATTGTTTTCATGATTATTATGAAGTTGTTAGAAAACCACACTTCAAATGTTGGTAATTAGCATTATAAAAATAGATATTGGTTCTACATCCAATGCAACCATGATCCTTTGTGCAATTAGTACTGTAGTACTGTAAACCCAAATGTTGCAATTTTGCTATAATTAATTGAGTGATAGGTGCTGTATCATTATCATTGTACACTTGTCCAGGGTCATTGGTACTGATTGTGACATTCCTATTGGGACATAGGTGAGGTCCAAAGTAACAGATTATGTCACAATGTTAGACTCTTGGTTATAAGCTGTTGTGTAACATTACATTAAGTACTACCTATTATAACTAAACCACTTTTGCAGTACTATGTTATTTATGAAATATTTTTCTATTTCCAGATGTTGAAGACCGAAAGTAACCTTTGGGGTCTCAAACACATTAGGTTTAATTGTTACTTTATTCTCTGATGCTCTGAATTTCTCAATATTCTCTTTTCATATTTCATATAACATCCTGTGACCAAAATTTGTTAAAAATAAAATTGTATAAGTGGGACAATGCAGTTTCTTTCTGTGCGTTGTAAATGTTGTTGAAATAAAACACATATTATTTATTAATGTAGTATTTAATACAATATCCTAAAAAAGAAATATTACGTAATATTTATACACGTATTTACAAATACCTAACCCATGTAAACAGATCTATTATGGAACGAAATGTCTTAAGAACAATGGCATATTGCACATTGTTACACAAAATGACGAAAAATATATACCCATAATAATAAATTAAAATTGTTTCTAGATTTAATTCTTCTTTCCAAACCAACAAACCAAATTATACATTATAATAATAAACTATAAAACAAAAATATCAAAATAGCTCTTCAAATTATATCTATCAAATTATACAAAATTACTCACTGACCATCTTACTATCTAAATCCGTCACCGGTGTCTACTGTGGGCACAGAACATGATATGAGATGGAGCCACCACCGTTACAGATTCTACGTGAATAACTAGTTATAGTAAAAAGGTAGGTTACATGTATGTAGATGCAGGAGATGCGAACACTAATTCACTAAATATTAGGCCTATGAAGTCACTGCACTGATAGAACACAGTAATTATATTAGCTACGTTCACTTGTGTTTTACGAAACAATAACACTTTGGAGTAATTATGCAACTAAAATTTGTGTCATACATAAAGCTATTGTTGAATATCACAATTAAATACTAGAGATGCATCGATGCACATTTTAGCCGACACGATAAAGATATTTTTAAAGAAGTATCGTCAATACTGATTAGGATATAAATTTTTCAAAAATGACATACAGTCAAGTTAAAATAATTCACACCGCAATCACAAGATAGTGAAATATACAGCGCAAGTCCGGGGAAGAAAAGTATTTATTAATTGAAGCTTTTAGAGTAGACAATTGTGTTTACAAGATTTAATTAAACACGGTAATAACAGCGAAAAGTTATAAGCATGTCAAAGGCTATATCAGCAAAATTAATATCGCCGATTCCGATACATCGGAAAACGCAATCGCCGATATATCGTTATCGGATGCATCCCTATAAATACCTTATCATAAAAAGAGATAAAACTATGTAGCAATAGTCGACTCAAGCGCAGTAAGAGGGGGGCGAGGTGAGGTCAGCGAGGAGGTCGAGTTCCTCCTCGGTGAGTTGTTCGCGATGTTTGGGCCAGTCGTCCTGGTGCGTGCGGCGGAAGTCTGCAAGTGCGTCGCGGATGGTGGCGGGGATGGGGTCCGGCGCGCTGGTATGTCGCGCCAGCTCGGCCAGTACGTCGCCGAGTCGGTCGCCAAGACTGTATGGGCGCGACGCCAGGTACCCGCAGAGCCCCAGCACGCCGCAGTGCCGTTCCACCAGTTGCTTAGACCGACAGCTCCGCATGAGTCCCTGCATCGTGACACTCTCGTCCGGCAGCGCGCGACAATGCATTAGGCCTGTTAGTAACTTCGCTGCAGACTGTCGCACCTGAAACAATTATTATAAAGAATAAACATGACGTCACAAGAGTTTGGTTACTAAGAGTTACAATAATTGAACAAATGTATAGTATCCCACCTCAAGTCTTGGATCTCGCATCAGTTTGAGTGCGAAGCGCTCAGTGGCGATGGCGCGATCGGCGCGGTCACATAACAATGGCAGTCCGTAGAACAGTAGTGGCTGAGCGAAGTCCAGGCACGCGAGGCGAGCCGACCATGACCGACCTAACGTCATATAATACAGTAGAATCAATACATTGCATTAACTGTAACATGAAGTTTTGATGTGTTCAACAATAATGATAAATGAAAAATAAATGACGTTATTTTGAAATATTTATCGGTTATACTCAATCGTATCGGTCTAGTCTTAACTCCGTAACGAAACAATGTGGCAGAGGGTTCGCGTTTTGAAGTCGAGCATGAAACATATAATTATAGCTTACTGTTGGAGAGTGTCTCGAGATGTTGCAGCGCGGTGTCGAAGGCGCGGCTGCAGTGGTGCGCGAGCGCGAGCGAGGCGAGCAGCGCGGCGGCGGCGCGCGGCAGCTCGTCGTGCGGCTGCGGCGGGCCGCGCCCCGCCAGGATGGCAGCAAAAACATCCCGCCAGCGCGCACGCCGCGCCCGCCACCACGTACTGGCGCTCCGGCCGGCACGCCACGCCGCGCACCACCACGCCCATGCACCCGCGGAGCACTACACACACCATGGACACATTACTACATTACGCTCCCAACAAAAAATAATTCTACTTAATGTGGTTAAGTAGACTACTTTCGGGATCGCTCGATTAATATCGAGCCATATCAGGACCTTTAATTCCATATTCTGATACTTTTGTGAGATTGAGATTAGAAATACATTTAGATGTTTACAATTTACTTTCAAATTACTTTTAACATTTTTCTACAATTATAAGTTCAAAATTTTAGGAGTTATCAGCGAAACTAAGTACTTATTTTAGAATAGACAATAAGGTATAAATATATTACATACCAGTAGTGAGTAAGTTCAACGCCCGCGCATGGTCCTGCGGTGCGGGCGCGGCCACGTCTCCAGTGAGGCGCAGTGCGGTGTCGAGACGGGACACTAGTTGGCGCTCTGCACGGGGCACTCGTGCTTCGCCTTCTGTGTCCGAAGACTCTCCTGCCTCCGTCGCCTGATAAAATAAAAACAGATTAGATTTACGATTATGGTAAACAATGTTAAAAGTTATTTGGACTCAAGTAAAAGGACTTATGAGATCAATAGAAGATTTCTTTCTTGTTATTTTATAAAGGCCTTTATTTCACAACGTGGGCGCGCTTGTGATAGCGGAAATCTAGACTACATAGACAAGCAATTTATGGGTTACACAAAAAGTTTTTCTGTACAGGAATATCCAAAATACACTTGCGTCTTCTAAGGAGACCAAAAACAGTCCAAATGTCCCGTATTGCAGGCCAAATAATTATGTAGTGAATGACCTGTGTGTCGTCGGAGGGCGGCGCGTGTTCCTGCGCGAGCCTGGCGACGTGTATGGCGACGTCGGCGGCGGCGGACAGCGCGCGCGGCGGCAGGCGCGCGTCGGCCGCGCAGCCCGCCGCCGGCTCGCGCGGACTGCACTGCATGGCCGCTGACGCTGCCGTCTTTATCACTACGGATACAAATACAAATTAATTTATCATCTGCCGCTATACGCCTTGAAAGTAGAAGAAAGACTGGCTGAAGGCTGATCTAGTTGAGTTTGTTGGACAGATTTGATAGTTGCGTCGTGTTTTCAGAATTGGATTTTTTGGATTGTATTTTATTTCAGCATGTTGTCTTCGGATTACAGCTAATATGACTTCCGCCTGCTCATAAAATTTGGTTGTTGCGAAAATTTGAAGTTTGAAAAAAATAATTTTAAATATAAATATAAGAATTATATCGTCAATCGACGGGCATGTGTGAAGAGATTGAAGAATGTGGACAAAAAGATATGCTAGAATTATGTCTCTGTTTACCCCAATGGAAGAGATGTAGTTATTATCATTAATTGGTAAAAGGAGAGAATATGTCGCAATTCCCACGCTTGGTACGCAGTTAGGGACTTGTGCTTTTTCATACAAGTTGGCACCTAGATACTGACCTATATCGCCGTTCTCGTCATAGAGCGCGGCGAGTCGTGGTTGTACAGTATCCAAGAAGTCAGCCAGACGGGGCGCGGGACCATTGTGCCCGCCGGGGAACACCAGCTCCGTGTCGAAGATCGTCATCAACAAACTGCAATAGGGAAATATGTCAAGTAATTATATTTAATTTTGTGTTTTTTTAATGCATATTGAACTTTATTGGTTTTTATTTATTTATTTATTTATTTAAGTTTTATACAATTGCATAAGGAGGACTTAATGCCAACAGCATTCTCTGCCAGTCATCCTTTGGGTAGTGCAGAAATGTATGTGGTAGGTGGTAAGCTGCAAAACTGTCATGAGAAATAGTGGTAATTATCCAAATTAATAAAAGGGTATCAAAAGCATACATAAAATACGTAAATATAATCGTATAGATATATATAATTATATATAATATAAATATCATTATACATATAAATATATTTGTGACTCGTATATGAATTTGTCCTATGTTACAACAAGATGAAAAATTATGAAAGATGTTATGAAACTGCCAGCTTTCCGCTAATGTACTCACGCGCCCTCCGCTTGAAACTCAGACGACTGGTTGCGGTTTTGTTTAAATTTCAAAATCAGTTTGTGAACTACTACAAATTTGATTAGAATTGTGTGTTTTTTTATATAAACTGTTAAATCATCTTTGAGAGACAAATATTTTTTTCTGAGTACCAAACACGAATAACTTATCGCATTTTTAACGTAATAGTGCTCGGATTGGTTGGTTCATTGGATCCACCCAATCAGTGCGCTGAACGCGCTCGATACTTTTATGTTACGAATGCGATAGTCATTCGTGCGTGCACGTTGATGTGATCATGTGTGAATATGATACGTATGTGAAAATTTACCTGCCGACAGTTTCCCGTACGTTTTGATAGGGATGCTGTGTGAAGTTGGCCTCTTCCAACCGCTTCAACAGTTCAGCAGCCAGTGGTGCCGCCCTCCAACGTAGGGAGCCCAGTGCACCCTGCATAAGTAGATGATGGTATGTTAAATAAGTAACAATATTATTACGCAGTATATAGTGGATGGAAGTTCGATCCTTTCGTTATTGATATAAGGCTTTTGTTTTAATTTTTTCTTTGTTTTGGTAAGAACAATGCCAGATATAAATCACAGAATAAGTAATACCGAATGCGTATTGTACTGCTAACATTCCAAAAGACGACTTAATTAAATACAGTGAAACCTGGTTAAGTGAGACATCAAGGGACCTGCAATGTCGTTTCACTTATAGAGGTATTCCACTTACCCAGTGTCTCAGATATACAGGTATAAATAAATATCTGTCTCATTTACAGAGGGTTCCATTAATAGAGGTGGACTTGGAATTACGTGTGGAATTTGTGGGTAGAATAAGAATGAGTAAACAAACAATGTTATCTCAGTTACAGAGGTTTATGCATATAAAATTTACTCGCTGTCTCAGTTATAGAGGTAACTATGATGATAAATCGAAAGAACAAATCCCAGATATAGAGGTTTACCTCGTCCCACTGACTGAGGTAATTCAGTGCCAAAGTGTTGGGACCTCAGCATGAGTTCCAGTTATGGAGGTTTCTCACTTATCCAGGTCCCACTTAACCAAGTTTCACTGTATATGTATGTAAACCAAGGTCGTTGAACTATGAACAGCACCATTGATATCTAGTGAACACAAAAACACATAGATTATTTTTTTTAATATTACCTGTAGGGCATAAAGTCTAGCACAGATACTGAATGAAGTATCAACATCTGGTTCATTATCTCGGGTGCGTGATCGTGGCGCGCAAATCTGGACTAATCCTTCTATTACTTGACGGCCGCGGGTTGGGTCTAACTTCTCCACGCCAGTAGCCACGCAGGTGCCCCAGTCCTCAAGAGTTTCGGGGGTAACCGATGATAAACCTGGCGGGATAAAAAAAACTGTATAATTATAGTTTTTTATTTGCTCTTTGTTTTGTGTTTGTGCCTTGCATCATCTATGAGTTATGGAGTTAGGAATTTATAGTCTCATGCTGTGTTTAAAAAAGTTGTTAGCCAAATTACTGCTAAATATTAATAAAACTGTTGTAATTTTTAGTTTAGCTCTTAAATCCCTAATATACCGAACATGTGTATCGTTAGTAGAGAGATAATAAGTTAGATTACAATATTCTATTAGGAACATCACAAAATTTCAATTTTGATTGGCAAAAAGTTATTAGAGTATGACGTAATTTAAATCAGAACTAATGAATACAAAGTAAATATCCTACCAATCTGTAGTATATTGACGGCGGCAGCATACATGTCCATGGCCCTGTCCCTGGGCCAGTACCGCGGCGCGCGCAGGGCGGCGGCAGTCACCTCTGCCGCGTAACGTTGCATCGCCTCTTGAGAGTCCGCCGCGCAACGCTCCGCGTGACGCAGGAATCTAGCGCTTATATCGTTGCCGAATTGCGCGAATAATGTCTGTACATAAATAAAAAAGTATAAGATGTTAACAACATGTTTAAGTTGTTAACACCACGTTTTTTGCAGGTTGTAGGGTAGTTTTACGGTCAGGTCAGGCGAAAGTGTGTTTTAGAGTCGAGTTCATTACAAGTCAAAACCACGTTGATGGAGAGAGAAATATTTCAGAACTAGCTTCTGCCAGCGGCTTCGCCCGCGTTCCCATGGGTAAAATGCCTATGTATTACTTCAGACCATAATCTGCCCCTGTTCCGAATTTCATTCCGGTTCCTTTAGTCGTTTTAATATGATTGATGATTGAGAGCACTATAAACGTCAGAGTAAACAAATATAACAAGAAAGCTTCAAACTGCTAAGCTACCGGCTAAGCTAAACTACCGTTACACGTGTTATTGTGAGTCAACCATAAAAGATAGACATACGCTGGTCTAGGATATTTTTTAGATGATTTTATGTAGAACATTTCCGTCATACATGATTTCTATGTAGTTTTAACCATTAAGGCTGTACACGCGACGGAAGCTTAAAAAATAGAGAAACTTCTCGTGTTTTCTCAATATTTCCCTTCACTGCTCTGCTTCTATTGATTGCAGCGTAATGGAAATCATGCTATAACCTCCCCAGGAACATGAAGAATAATTGTACGAAGTTTCGTTAAAATCCGTCAAGTAGTTTTTGTTTCTATAAGGAACATACAGACAGACAGACAGACAGACAAAAATATTACTGATTGCATTTTCGGCATTAGTATCGATACTGTGGTCGACCACTAATCACCCCCTGACAGTTATTTTGGAAATATATTTCATGTACAGAATTGACCTCTCTACAGATTTATTTTATAAGTAAGTAGTAAGTATAGAAGTATAGATAACCTTTAGACAGCTTACCCGGATTTAAGTTAAAAATTCTGTAGCCCTACAGGAAACCTAAGAAGACATTTGTAAGAAAATAGATTAATAAAGGTCCGGGAGTTACATAGGTTTTATTGTTACTTTGCTCACAGCTTTACAGTTACTGTACTTACTATCTACCCATTATAAAATTATCTTAACACTACAAACTATTAAAACAATACCAATTTGACTAACCTTGAATAAAGAGAAGCGCACTCCATTGAACTTGTCCTTGCCCTTCTTCTCCTCGACGGTCAAGAAGGCAACCAGCTTGTTGACATTATCCTCGTTGTTGAAGAACTCATACAGGTGACGCTCGCCTTCCTCCATGTCTTCCGGAGCCAGGTCCGAGGAGTATACCTGCTCGCTAGATGGTGCTGCTATCTAAAAAGTGACAAGAAAAATGTAACCTAAATTTTTTAATACAGATTACAGTATATCAATTTCTACATGATGTTTAATTTTTTGCAACTTAAAAGCCTATTTTATGTGTGGTGTGACTAAATGAGAATTTTAATGTGATCATTAGACCATATCCTAAAGAAAACAATTGACTAAAACGCACTCAAGCATAGCTTTATTTAGTTTGCGCTGTGTTGCGCAATGCTTGCGCAAACTGCGCAAATATTAAAGTTGCTTAGACATTAAATAACATACCTCTAACTTCTCGGGCCAGGCATAAAATCCGTACATTGAGTTCCTCAACCAGGGTTGATCCCATTCTTCGTCAGTTTTATATACCCTGTCATCAGACCATATTGCCCATTCAAGATCCTTTCGGTACCCTGAAAAATAGTACGTTGGTATTTTCCGTGTCCAAATCATAATAGATTTTATTTATTTAATTCAACTTAATACAACAAGTGGGTACAGATGGGACTTGATATCTTGGCATTGTGTCCCAGTCAACCTTAAGTTGTGCAGAGATGAAAGTTGCAGGTGATCAAGGAACCTTTATAACACCGCAATGTACTATTTTAATATTATTATTTAAGTTTTTACGTTTAAGTAATTCTTATTTAAGGTTTTAACTAACTCGTAAGTTAATATTTAATGTTTTAATTCCATACAAAACGCATGATATCTCGCTTATGATTGTGAAACCAGATATGGGATGAAATTAGTCGAGTATCGTCAAAAAGTTTACGCGAACACGTCGTATGTTTGAGTTAATTAAACTTATTATAATACTTATTATGAGTATTTTTAGACTTACAAAATTACATAACAAACAAATTGAGTAATAATATAATATATTTAAAAAACCAAACTTACCAGGTGTACGTTTATCAGGGCGAGGTACGCCAGCGATGTCATACGGATCAATTTCAATCTTAATAAGTTTGTGCTTGCGTTGTTTTAGTACATAGTGCACTAGTCGTTGTGCTGTACGTCTGACGGCGATGTCATCGTGTAGTAATGCCTGTACCATCCCCCGGACAGCGGACCCAGGGTATGGGGTTTGAAGGGAAGGGCAGAAGGTTAGCATCTGCATCGCTAGCTCCAAGCGACGCCATTGGCTGTTGAATAGCGAAAGTTGTTTAATATAATGTTCATTTAAGAGTAATAAAAGTATAAGAGTCTGAACATTATCGCTTGTCAATATGGTCTAGTTTTGATTTATTTTAAGTATGAGTTATGTCACGTTTTACAACTAAATTAAATGCAATGTCCAGAGTGAAAAGCATATGACTTATTTTTAAAAATCAACCGAAATTAAGCCTTGGCTCATAGTAAAATTTATTTGATTCTATGAGTCTTTACAAAAGTGGCTTTGTTAAAACATACAAAGTTCAATTTTCTACTTACATATTAGGAGTTTCGACGACTCGCATAAGTTCTACAATGAGTTCATTGTAGATTTTCTCAGTTCTGTCTGAGCTGGCAGTTTCTCTCGCAATGGATTCATTGAGAATCTTGCTGAAATGTGGGTCGGAACGTTCCTCTTCAGTAATAAGTACCGCGGCCGCGTCTACCGCCGTTGTACTCATAGTAAGGCGAGTGTTCACTGTAGGGAAGTGACGATGGAGACTATCGCTGAACGCTTGTTCTAGCCTGAAATAACAGATTACATTAAATGGAAATCTATTAGATTATGAGCTTTATTTCAAGGTGGTTGAAGGACACATTGCAAAGGCAACACAATGTTGTGACAAACCTGCCACACTTATGCAAATTCTATTAGTCTGTGTGTAACAGTAGCGTAACTGTGTAACTGAATTAAAATGTATCATTGGAGGAGTACAGAAACAGTTATAGACAACTTACCGAACCATGCTGGGTTTCTCGCTAAGCGGCGCATTAAGTATAGCAGGCCATAGCGTGCGCACTACGTCCCAATCCTGCTTAGCCACCAATGGTCCACTGCGTGGCCCCAGCATCATAAACAGTGCGCCTTTATGACGCGCATGCCACTCGTCCCCTTCACCACCTTTGGCCAATATTTCCGCCAACTTTGGTACCAACGCCCGATACGAATACGGGTAATGGCTCAGCATCCAGTACAAACGGATTTGCGCTAATATGCGGACCTGGTTAAGAAAGAAATGTTGTACATTTTGTTGTATCTTACAGTTATTTAGTTAAAGACATTTTGCTTGTGAAGTACAGTTAGATTCGTTTTGTTAATAGGTTTATAATTCAGTTATACTCACAGAGCTGTAGGTATTGATAGAGAGCTCAGCTAAAGCGTGCAGAGCTTTGAGAGCTGACGGGGTGATCCCGGCCTCGCAGACTAGATCATATCGTGAGTCATCATGTAGCCTTGCAGCATCGGCAGTGAGCATCCGCAGTCGTGCAGTGCCAACGCCCCGGGAGCTCCCCTTCCGGTCCGGGGCTCCACCGCGCCCGTCCAGTGCCCTCTCTAAAGCCCCATACGACCTCAGTCGAGCCTCTAGTCCAGGCCCTCCGCGCATACCTTTCATAACTACTACGCGTTCCCATACCTGGTGAAACACCAATTATAAACACTCAAAGGTATTTTGCTATAGAGTTTTTAGAGAAGTTCCAAATTGAACAGTATTATTTTCAAATAATTTCATAATACTTCCAACAAAGAAACTGGACAATCACCTGTATCAGCATCTCAAGGCCCTTGGTATCATCAGTCTTTTCGCCCAATAATTTGGCTTGCACCTTAAGTAGCAGACGGGTCAAGGCCACGCGCACATTCTCCCCGTTCAGTGTCACTTCGTAGCGCACGCCGCTGGTAAATGGAATGCTTGTAGCAGGCACGTGAGATTCCAAACTGGAATAAAGGCAGTGTATTGTAGTATTCAGTTGTCCAAAGTCCTAAAAGTTTGTGATAGAATTCTACTTACAAGGAAACAGAGTCTTCATTAGGTGGCGGTAGAAAAGTGCTGCACGCTAGCAGTGCATTAATGATATAGAAGCTCCTCAGTCGTCGCTCACGACACATGTCTCGGTCCCCACTGATCCATTGCTCCAGCCGGGCTGCTTCCGCCGTGAGATACCGGTCTATCAACATCTGCGCACACTGAGCCTCCGCCTCGCTCGGCACGTGCCACTTGAAGTTAGTATCCTTCAACATACACCCGTATCCCCACTCCCGTATAGGCAGCCACGTCTCCGGAGCCGAGCCGTAATCCTTCGGCGAACTCTTCCACTCTTTCAAATCAATATAGCACAACGAGTTGAGCATATGACTCAGCACCTCACACGCTCTCGACAGCGCGTAGTTAGAATGTAACTTCAGAGCCCTGTCCAGTATGGGCAGGATGTCGGGGACATATTTGAGCAGTACAACACCGTCACACTCCACCACATGCATCAACAACACCAGTCTGTAGACCAGGTCACGCGAGGGGTTCTCCTCGTGCAGCGCCTCGTCCGTCGACAGCAACTCCGACAGTTGTTCACACAGGTCCGGCAAGAACGCAGCCAGGGTGGCCTCCGAGTCAATTCTAGCAAACACATGCAACATTACACCAACCATACTTCCAGATACATTCGTTTCAAATGTCGTTTCTGTGGCGAAGGCTTTGAATTTTCTTAATGCTTCCTTAAATATCTTCGGCGAGCACTGCATCAGTACAGCTGTCGCGGCCGAAGAGATGGCAGTTTCCATTACAGCGTCAGTCTTACTGCGAACGGCGTCGGATTCTTTAGTATCCAGTCTTACATGTTCGAGTACACTAGACTCGATGATTACAAACAATCTGTCTAAGAAGACGAGCACAAAGTCCTCGAGTTGAGCGGTAGACTCACAGGTGAGGAGTTCTTCCTCGGTGAGGTCCGACCAGTGCTCGTGAGCTGAACTACAGTCTATGAAAGGCACCATCCATGTGAAGATGAGTATGAAGTGTAGTGTGACCAATGTCTTTTTAATGTCATTGGGATCAAGCCCCGGTAGTACAGCCAGCAGGAACGGTACTACGTGGGTGGGTCCCTCCGGGTACCCGGCGTCCGCGCCGCGCAGCATGGGTCGCGCCACGGCGGCCACTGCAGACATGGCGGCCGTCACTCGGTGCGGCTCCGTCAGAGACGTCAGAGAAGTCTTCAGTCTCTCCAGGAGAGGCGGGACTACTATGGCGGGGCGTAGCGTCGCTAGGTTGTGTAGTGCAATAGATATATCGAGCGAGCCACTGCGGCTGTACACTGCCTGTAGTGTCGGCTCCAGCACGATCTGAACAAACTCTGTAATGTCTTCGTCTTTCAGTCGGTAGTGAGCCGGAGTTTGGTTCTCCCAACTTTCCTTGAATTTAGGTTCACGTTCACGACGTACCCTGCGAAAACCAACTACTTTTAAGGATCTTTACACATGCAGCTTTGTTTTGTAGGGATCAAAGATTAAGTAAGTCTTATTTATTTATTTTATTTATATTTTTAATCAACCCTTAAGTAAAATTACACACTAGACGTTTAATTCGTTGTTACCTGTTTAGAAACTCTCTAGCCAGTTTCCTGAGCAGGTCCCTCAGCTTATAAGACCAGCGGCCCGAGTTAGCGCTGTGCAGATAGCTCTCGACTCCTGCCAGGAAGCTGCGCAAGTGCTTGAGCACCTCGCCGTCAGGGGCAATGCTCCATACAATCCACGAAGCCACGTGTTTCATGTCTGTATCACAATATATTCATTGGACCTTTAAATTTTTTTCTGAACAAGTATCGATGCAATAAATGTACAGAGTGCAAATTTTACAGATTTTAGTTGGTCCGATTTATCGTGTGCGGCAAGAGAATTTTAAAAATCTTTGAGTGTAGCTTTGTTTCTTTTTAAAAATAAAGGAAAGTTTTCTTTGAGTAAATTTTTTATATTAAATATTAAGAGTACTTCCCCTTCAGGTGACATTGCAAAATTCTAATCTGTATATTTGAAGTACCTACAAAAGTGGTTCTGTAGTTACTACTAAAAATGCATTAAAATAAGAATAACAGCAGTGTTATTCTAAAATAAACTTTCACAATTATGTGTCAACTTACGATAAAAATAGCAATTGGCATACATTGTGGCATTGTATACTGTACAGTAACACAACATAAGTATTATTTAAAATACTACAGTTTTGTAAAGTCATTAACATTTTGAATGTCCTATCATATGGCAGTTCAAAGAAAATACTACAAACACGAACAATGAATGTAATATGATGAAACAGAAGACGGTATATTTATCTAAATACATATAACATATTGCTGAATATCCGTGTGTGATAAAGAAATATTTAAATTAGAAGATAAGTTGACTTTGTTACCTATTTCCAAAAATAAACAATCATTGCATTTGAAATGAAAAGCAACTGTTCGGCAACGTGTTGCAAGGGGGGCAAACGAGCAGTCGGAGCTTTGGTAAGTGATTAGTGCCGCCCACTGACACCCGCAGTAGGAGAAGTTATTAGATGATTTCCCCCTCAAAAAAGCCCCTAGACTGGATCAGTCACAACTGTCGTGTCGAGTTTGGGGGAAGAGGGGAACACACGCTAGGCCTCTGGTATAATGTTTATTTGAGATTTAGGCACAGGATCAAATCTTTGTGTAGTAGCGCAAAATGCCAGTCTTTACGTAGATAACTTACCTAACGAATGGCAGCGTGTGATCTGCATGTCTTTGTAGCTGACTGGGAGGTTTAGAGCGTGTAGAAACCTCGTGAACATCTTCGGCACGTGCGGCTGCCAGTCTATCGCGCCAGGGTTGCGTTTCGCTAGCCCCGCAAACAGCATCATTAAATCCTGTATGATAAGGTTGTTTTTAGAACGGCATAGACCTTGCTTATCGTCGGTAGGGGTTAAAATACAACTTTAAAATTATATTGAATCGGCAAGTATACTCAATTGTCGTATAGTGACTAATTGGGAGGAGATTCAAGGACTTTGTCTTACCGAGATACCGCATTGTGAGTTGTAGCATGTATCCCAGAGCGACATGATCTCGTCGAACCACAGGTGGTGGCCGAACTCCGCATACTGAGGGTTTAAAGCCACCGGCAGGAACACAGCCAGCTGACATACCACGTGTGTGTCCGTGGACCATGGGTTTATTTGAGGCATCAACTCCGCTAGGATCTCTTTTGTTGCAGTCAAAGGGAAATATCTAAAAATCCGGAAAAATATTACTACTTACTGCAATTTACATTCGAAGGTTGTATATAATTAAGTAGGTACGTATACTTACGGTCTTGCGCATTTAACCATCGAAATATATGATCCTTCGAGGGAACTGAAATAAAATTATTAAACTTTAACATATTATGTACATATTTTAGATAAGAAAACATGCACAGCCTGCCACCTGGATACACAGACATTACCGTTTATACAATAGGATGTTTGGCAAAACAACTTATTAATTTTCAACAACATAAAGTTGATGTTTTAACAAGTCATTTCAGGGGTCCATTATACCAAGGATAAGTGACATGGGTCTGATGAATCATGAGCCCAACCCGTCTGCCACCTGATGTGCGAACAATAAGCGTGCCCCGAAAACATATTGTTTGTCTGTTCATTACGTGGGCAGTTCGTTTTCGTCGGCTCCCGCAAGGCCGAACAACTCTAAGGCATCGCCCAGCCCGTCGCCAGACAGGAATTTTCGAATCATATCGAGCATATCGCCTCCTTGTTTCATAGAGCGCTTTGGCCTGAACATACACCATGATCTTAAGTTATAGTTACGTGGTATTCTATACCACTAAATTAAACATTAAATTCAGTATAAATATCGAGTTATGTGGAACTAATTATGTATGCTTTACGTCATAAACGTTCAATGTACGATATCCATTTTCCAGCAACGGTTATCGTCGTTGTGTTTTGTTTAAATGTAATCCAATATGCACGTAAACCGTAGTAGGTGGTTACGTCACGCGTTACGTGTGAAGACGTCACATGTAGGAAGTACCGAGACAAAAGTTGGCGCTGGATGAGTCGCGAACGCATTCAAGTTCTTTCGATTATGTATAATACTTAAAAAAGTTTTAACATTAAATGCTAATTAAAATACTCTATCGGTAATATACTATACTTACGTCAGGTAATGGTACATTCCAATATGAGTGGCGCTCTTGTCGAATATTTTTTTGCCCATATCGTAGAGCGGACGCCAATGCAGCGTCAGTTCGTCAGGTGAAATCAATTGTCTTTTCCTGTAGAAATTAATTACTTCGTTAGCAATTAACAGAAGTTGTCGGTGCCAATTATTTAAACTATTTACTGCCAAGATCCCTAATAATTTAAGTTCCTTGAACACAATTTTATGTCTGGCAGACATATTTTCATGCTAATGTAAAGTTTTTACAATACTGTACACATACAAAAATTATTAAATTGTTATGGACACCTGTTGTATAGTTAGAATTTTTCAATATTAAATAGATCTTTTATTTACTATAACTACCCACAATTGCATTGGCAGTAAAACCACAGAGTACAACCAGTAAGATAAGTATGAGTACTGAAGGATATTTATTTTATTTCCCCTCATATTCCCTTCTTCCACATAAATAGTGTATAGGTTCTTAAACATATTTTTAGTTTTCATTAATCAATAAATCTGGTCTGATTGAAAAAGAGGAATTAGGAATCTACATCTTGGGATGAGCGAATAGCTTCACTTTTAATTTTTAGTTGACGTTCAAAAGTGACTTTCGGTTTTAATTGAAATAAATGATTTTGACTTTGACTATAAACAGTAAAGGATAACAGAAGTTGTGGCAAAATTTTATTTCACTACTTACTTACTTAAAACATTCTTTAGGAATAAATCGTCAGTGTTGTTGTCGTTTTATACGACCCTGGACTCTTATTATGTCGTGCTCTTAAATAGGTACCTAATCAATCTTTAAAATAATTTAATAGGTGACTAAACCCATCATGACTAAATTTAAAATACATGACAGGAAAACATTATGAAAATCAATGCAAGTGGGATTTGGTATTGATTTATGAATATTTGAGTCATCAAAACGTTTAGTTAGACTACTATGCGATAATGAATAATTGAACTATCGGTCTCACTTATTATTATAACAATTTTTTTTTCCAATATGCAATGTAATGGCCGCTTTCAAACCAATTTATAATTATTTTATAGGTTCTATATAATAAAGGAGTTTATTGTTATACATACTTTTTGTAATTAAGTACATGTACATAGATAATATTAATTTATACATACTTAGTGAGCATCAGAAACATGGTAGCGAACTTATGAATCTTGCATGGTTCGAGGTCAGGTATAAGGACAAGCTCATAAGCCAGTTTTATTAGCTTTATGTGATCCTCCTTGCTGAACTTCAGGCCATGGATTCGAATATACCTGGAAATAAAGGAAAAATTTAAAAGTTCTTATTTATAGGTATAGGTTGGTTGCATCCTTAAGTTGCCTTCCACGGAGGGGTGAATGACATATTTATTCAATATGGGCGTTTTCTGGATTTTCTCCTGTATCATAGAATGTTTTCAAACATTATTTGTTATAATAAATTCACTCCCAAACACGGATACGCAATTTGTAGATCACACTAAGAAATGTTTTCCCACTAAGAAATGGAAACCAAATCCCTATTTGTGTATTCCACCAGCTGCAGGATAAAGAAGTGCGGAGTGTAGATGAAAAAATGAATCTTAATGGACCTGGATGTTCTTTACTATTTTTGTGTGATAATTCTAATCTTAATTAATTCCATGGGGTTATTGGCTTTGATTAATATAAAATATGAAACTGTAATTAAAAAGAAGATATAAATATATAATTCTCAATAACCTGATTATGGAAATATTTTTTTTTTATTATAATTAACATTGATTTGATTTAATATGTATATATCACAATTTATGTCTGTCAATCAAACTAAAAATATCTATCAGGAAATTTATTTATAAAACATAAAATAAATATATAGGTATATAATGTATAGTTCTGATGTTAACTATATGTAAATAAATAATCAGGAATGATGAAGTAATAATATAATGAACTGTCAGTGTTACATGAGGCCAGGTGCAGTTTACAGGAAGTCCTGGGTGCCGGCCAGCATATTTGAAACTTCAGCAATACTTGCCAAAGGTTAACAATAAACTGAAACTTATTACTAATTCAATTACTAATAGTTGAACAATAACAGTTGTTATTGTTACATTTTTTCATATTGTATACAAGATAATTATACTTATTTCATTTTTATATCATAACTAACTAGTTCACTTCATTTTTTTTTTATTATCACCATTTAAATACAGGTGATTTTAAAAGCAATGTTGATTGTATTGTTGGATCATCCAAATTCAACATGAAAGTTGAATATTTTTTGTACCTAATTTATTACTTCATTAAATTCTAAAAATTGGATTGTATGCCTATATAAATATCTGAATATTTCAATACAATTTGTGCAATTAAGCAGCAAAATTTTATTTAAATTGACTTCATTGTCATATCATTACCATGCAGTTTTGATTCACTGAGATGATGCAACATTACTACATTATATTTATTATTTAGGTATATTAGATCAAGATAATTGGTATTATTAATGTTTTTCAACAGCACATCATTATTAACAATGGTTTGAGCAGAGTTTTTTACATTTAATATTTTTCTAGAATGGTAGATGGAAAACATAATTATATTTCTCTGAGGGGCAGGTAAAGATATGGCACAGGATTTCCCTTTGGGGTTTTAGGTCAAAATAATAGAAACCTATTCTGTTGCCATTAAAGCAAGCAGATTTCTCTGATCATTTGGCTGAAAATTTAGAAAAGTGAAACATTGAAACATTTTGTAGTTTGGATCTAGATAAACGAAACCAAAAATTTAAATATTTTTTAATTTCAAATAAGGTGATGATTTTGTAAACTATACTTTTTATGATGTGTATTTAAAAATTGTGTGAACAAGCTGGATAAAATTGAAGTTTGTCACAATACACAATTACACTTGTGTCCTATGGCGGGTAGTTAGAATCTATTGAGTGCAACCTACCTGCTATTATAATTTTAGTTTTTTTTTATAATAATTTTCATGACTAGAATTTCCATTCAAAGGATTTCCATAAAATTTTCTTTTCTTATAAGATTGTAAATTCTAATAAGAAATTATTGTAATAAAATAAAGTCGAATTTTTTTTTGGCAATATGTGTAATTAAGGGGGTACTTTGTTAAAAAACTGATTACACCTTTGTTATCCACCACCCTTAAAATATGTTATTGGTCAGAATTTTATGGTCAATCACACTATAAGTTCTCTAAAGAGACAATACAATTCTTATAAGACCTCACAGTAAAATGTATTTAAAATCAACCCTCTCATCATTATTTATACTAAATATTATAAAGAGACAAAAGCTCCAGAGCTCCAACAACACGCTCTTGTGTTTATCCTTCCTGATAAATTCATTGGCATTTATTGGACAGCTTCCAATAAATAAATATCACCTAAAATGTATCTGTGTTAACCCAACACCTTTGTCTTATGAGAAAAAAGTAATATTTACTTCATGAGCCTGGAGGACCACACACCGCAGGCTGGCTTCATCTCACGCAACATGACGGCCTTCGCCAGGTTTGTCTTCACTTGTTGTAGGAATCTTGAGGCCTCATCATCCAACTCGGCGGCATATGGTAAGATGTGATTCGTCAAGATTTCCTTCTGTGGCTTGAACCCCAGAGCCTTTATACGCTCTGGGGTTGTCACCAGGGCCTCGAACTCATCGTCTTGTATCATATTGATGGTTCTACGTTATTTGTTTTTGGAAAATTATAACCAGTCACTGCAATATGTCCTTTATACCCGGCGGCCACATGAGCACAGTTGTAAGTATACTCGATACACGTCCGCGAATCACAAATAATAAACTGTCATTTAACAAATCAAATTTACATTGAATTTACACAAGTCATCGAGATAATCACTGAAAGAAAATCCGAATCGCCAAGTCAGTCCTAAAGGTACGTTCCGATTCACTAAAATTTGACATGCGTCATTTGAACAAGTTTCCTCGTCATGGTCGTAAAGTACGTTTCATTCCACGCATTTACATGTGGTGATTGGGTGTGTTTCGAATTGCAGAAAACTTCAATGCAATACGATTGGTTGTGGTTGCAACATAGGAAGTTATGGATATGTAATAAAATTATTGATTATTCGGAGGCAGCAACTTAACAGACAGAGTGGGTACCTGCCTAGTGATATATAGGTACCCACATATTATTTTCTTTCTTTGTCTGTCTACAAATACCAAACGCAACTTCGCATTTTATGCCTTCGGCACACAATTATTATTTTTTAACTAGTGAAGATCTTGCTTCTACTTTAACATTGCATAAATAGGTATTTATGCAATGCAATGTTAAAATAATGGCGGCAGAAAGTAAGCTTAGAGGAATTCTAATTTCGGGTTTTCTCCTGTATCGTGGGTGCGTTTACAAACATACAAGTTCACATAACACATTACACACAGACCCGGTACAACAATCTGTGGATCACACAAAGAATTGTTCCGGACGGGAATCGAACCCGCGACACGATGCGCGATTCTCCAATTTTACAAGTCCTACCATTTATAGAGACCGACTAAATCTTATAGATAGTCATAACGTTAATATTGCTTGCGTCGAGTGGGATTTTTTACCGACGATGATATTTCTTATGGTTTCTGCTTACTTTGGACAATGATTTTGAATAGTAGGTAATGAGTCGCTCGATTTGCCGCCCCCATGATCTCGTGCGACCGTGTGCTGTGCACGCTTACTTACGGCGGGGCTGCCTACACATTTAACAGACACCAGGCAGCACTGCTGTCTGATACTTAGGCTGAACCTTTTAAATTACTTTTTAGATCTCCAATGACTCCAAATTCAAACTCACAACAAACCTTATCTAGAACAAACCTAGGTACCTATAGAGTTGAACAGTGGGTTAATCCCTGGTTTGTAGTTGGTAGGTAAGTATCTTATTGTAATCGCACCGACGACGATACAGGATATAATCCTACTGTGGGTGGTATATGTATAAAAAAGTACCTAGTCTTCCTCCTGTATCGTCGGTGCATTTACAAATATATCTTATTATCTAAATAAATAAAAATGAATTTCCGTTCGTTAGTCTCGCTAAAATTCGAGAACGGCTGAACCGATTTGGCTAATTTCGGTCTTGAAATGTTCGTGGAAGTCCAGGGAGGGTTGAGTATTGTCGTTGAGTACCGTCATTATAGAACAGTAGGTTGAGGTCACCGGTGACCGCTTGGTGTTTGACAGTTTAAAAGGTGACAAAAACAATTTAGGCGGGACGAAGTTTGCCGGGTCAGCTAGTATATATATATATATATATTTCACATACACATCAAACTTGAGTGATATGCGTATATGTTCCAGGTCACAATTTGTGGATCATACAAAGTTACGGTAATCGAACCTGTCGCACCAACGAACCATGGAGTTAATAAACATAACACTATGCATAGTTAGGCAGAAGGCTACTTAAAAAAAAACATATACACAACGGTGGAAGAAGTTTATTTTTAAAAGTAACACAATTAAATAATGATAATACAAGCACTGTAAGCACCCTATATACTGGGTATTAAGGATACACAAAATTATTATTAATTGTAAGATTAGGTTTAAAGAGGAGGTAAAAGGTATAAACAAATATAAAGCTAAATCTAAAAGATATTTAAAAAGTCACTAATTTATACTATAAAATGATTAATAGAAGACAAATACACAGTCAAACATAGAACCTGGCTTTGTAAATCGGGTAAAACAGACCGCAGAATACTTTTTTATGATTTTTATGTAATAGTTTAATAGAATAAGAGTCAGAGAGAGAACAATGATTATGCAAGAGAGATAGAGGAAAACGTTAAGTAGGTGAAATGAAAGTGAAATATTGTTATCTCTATTGGAAGCAATAAAGTATGGAGTAGGTTTATACTTAGGTACGAATAAAATAAGTAAGGAAGACTAGCTTTGCATTTTTGGCTGATGTTAGATAGCCTAGGTTGGATAATTTCGTCGATACGTAATATAATTTCTATAATTTCGTCGGTATGGTTTGGTGTCAATGTCATTCTCAGATGGATTTAGTTACGATTTAGAGCCGTACCGAAACAGGCGAGACTAGGAAAGAAACTCATAGTCAGTACTGTTTTGTTCAAGATGTTATTCTTTCCGTCAGATTGTTCATGGTTTGAATTGTTCATTAGAGTTTGGTATCTTTCATTATACAGCGTGTAGCTGGATTAATATTGCATGAATAGAGGCTACGCGCTACTACAGGCAAGCGCCTACAGTTCAAATGATTTTTAGCCCAATTGGATCATTGCTCTAAAGACTATTTAGGCGTAATCTGTCCAATCATCGTGTTGTCCCAATATGTAATTAGTTTTGTCGTCCCTGACGGGTTTCGGTTGCTTGGTTTTAGATATCTGTCCCTCATTGTGTCCCGACTTCTTATTCTTCTTCGAAATATTATTCGGCTTTTCATTTGTTTCTTTTTGTCCTTTCTCGATAGTTTCTGGAGATTTGTTTGCTTTCTTTGTTATACTGGTTGATTCTTGGTCTTGATTATTCGTCTTTTCAGTTGTCGTCGTATCCGTTGGTGGTAGGACTTCGATTTTGGTCGTCTGTGTGTTTGAAGGAGTCCAGCTGGCTGCCAGTACGATGTTCCGGTACATAGAACTCGTGTGACCGAGGCGGTTAATTCGTTTACTCTTAGCGCCGGCTCGTTCGTTTAGCTTCAGAAGCTTAATCTGTGTAAACGTTAAAAGGTACAAAGTTAATGAAAAGGTTTTAGCGATATTGCTGGTTGGTTATAAGTCTATTCAAATATTTCGTTTTTAGGTCCTGACCAACAGACAGTTTAACTGGCAAACCGGTACTATCCAAATAGGAGTTTACTCAAATTCAAGTCCAAAAGAGTATTATCGAGACTGACAGACTAGGGGAAACGGTCCACAGGATACTAAATTGAATTCAAATAAATAGACAAAACAAGTTTAAGAGATCTTCATTGTATCATTAACCAGACGCCAGACTGGCTGACCTCAAATATCAATCAGTCTCCCCATATAAAATTATTCTTACCTTTCCTTCTAGTCATGCAAAAACTGACCTTACTCACATCAAAACTAAATCCAAACTATATCAGCAAAAGTAACTTATCCATTGTGCAAGCTTTATACAAGTCTGCTGCATTGTAACGGTACAGAAGCTAAAGTGGTAGCTGCGAGCTTCATGCGTTTGAATTTTAACTTTATTCAAAAGAACACAAAGCTCAATTTCGTATATCTACAAACTAGATACTGTAAAATGATAGCCGTTTTCCCATGCAATGGTCGACAGTACGAAAAATAGTAATAGTTACATTAGCATTTTCTATGTATTAGCATTTTAGCAAATAATGAGAAGTAATATAGAACTTCTTAACGTGGAAAACGACCTCTATTAAACGGTAAATAAACTACAGCACTGATCTACACAACATAATAAAAACCAAAAACAAAATAAAACGAATAAATAAAAATGCAACATTTTATTTTTGTGGAGAGCAAATAAATCATGGACAGTCATGCATGCGTAACAACGTAATAAAAAAAAAACAATGTATACTTAACATTAAAGCAGGAATCATAAATAAATAATATATTTGAATTGAGATATAAAAATAAAAATAAATATGTGTTTTTATGAGCGTAAAAAATTCACTAAAGCGGATCCATCTACTAGAATATACGGTATAAGTTTGAAACAACTGTTGTTTGAGAATATAAGTTTTTTTAAAGTAAAAAGTACCAGCGATAAATATTCTGCACATCAACAAATTTATCATTTATCTACAGTAGTCTCTGAGAAGAATTGAGAAAAGTACCGAAATCCTATCGATTTCGGTTAACTAAAATGTAAGATAATATATGTAATATTTATAGCTGGGTACTGTAATCCAAACAGTCTTAAAACTGATCTACTGTCTACTGAAGGTGTATTTCATATTATTCAAATCATATCAATAAAATACATATCGCCTGCTCAAGTGCTCACGAATCACAACAAAAAATTTGACAATTATATAAAAAAAATCGGAAATAAAAACAAATAAGTTCAGGCTAAGCATATTTCGTTCCATAAAAACAAGGTATCTAGGTATTGCAAATGCGACTCTATAATCATGTAGTGACCGTTTCTTTTTGCGTGGTGTATAAGCTGGCCGCGAATACAATGTCCCTTTTGATTGCTGTGGATGCTTCCATCATTTTGGCTTGGAGTTTTGGGTCACCGACCGCCACGGCTGCGTCTTTCACATCTACTAGCAACTGTTGGGAAGAAAATAATAATGAAACAGTTACTTATTATACAGTGTGTTAAAAATCTTAGAATTAAGAGACATAAGAGTAGACTTTAATTATATATATTTTTTTGATTAATTGCTTTGAGCCGCGGAAGACCTAACGGGTTGCCGGGACTCCGGCTCGAAGAGCAGGAGTAGGAACGGGGTGGTTTTTAGTCAGTATGAGTCTGACAGTCCCTCTCGCCTAACTCAAGGCGGGAGAAGCCATTGGATGTTTTCCCCCCTCAAAAAAAAGTTCCATGCTTTCTTAATTGAGGGGTCGTAAACGCGAATGTCGAGATTTTGGAAATCCTTAGTGATAGTACAAAATCTGGTTGTGTGGCAAAATACTCATGCCCAGGGTGCTTACTCTTGAAACCAATCTCAATGTCAATGCAATTTCAAACCAATAAAATCTCAATAATTATTCAATGTCAATACTATACAACCACAATATTGTAGCTGTTGAAATAGCATTCAGAGTACGGAATATAAAGCCAAACTGAATACCAGTTAGTTCATTCAATATCCACGCAATACGAATGCAATTGGCGCTGGTGTAGCAACTCAAGAGTACAAAATTTCGCAATACCAATGTCGATCGATCGGAATTGGATTCAAGAGTAAGCCCCCCCCTGTTCGTGAAAACTAAGTATGACATTTATTTATTTATTTATTTATTTATTTATTTAATGCACTAACAACTAACATTACAGATACATTCCAATACGATAGTGTAGCCATCAGTCTTACCACATCTTTTAGTACTTACTTATTACCTAATTATAATTAAATTAAAACTTAACACTTATACATACCTATATACTAATACAATAAAGTTTCCCATACAAATTTAATATCTTATATGAAACACTTAAAATTATATACTCACAATTAATCATAAACGATATTCTACTTAACACCTATTTGTATGTACAATTGTACCTACTGCCTATTTATTGACGAATAATAAAATGATGTTGTATTAGGTGTTACTCAAGTCGAAATTGATCTTACCTCATGCAACTGTTGTATACACCTGACAATGATACCCTCCTGCACGTCAGTGAGGTCCATGATCTCTGCGAACGGTTTCTCCAGCGCCCATTCGTACACTACTCTCACGAGACCAAAGTTCAGTCTTTCAGCTTGCCCTTCGAATTGGCCGACCTAAAAGGGAATGAATGTAAGGAAATAAAGATTAATTTAAAAAACGGGTTCGCGTCCCGGGTCGAGCAAAGTATTTTTTTTTTTTAATTTTTATTAAAGGGTTTTAAAATAATTCTCATTGGTAGCACTGTGTCTAGAATTGTGCCCTGTAATGTCAATAGGCTCACCACCTATTACATGGGACTCATAACATAAAATAGTGAAAAGTGGGTGTTACATGGTAAAGTGGCATTAGTGCCGTAATGTGCACCTCTGCCTACCCCTTCGGGGATAAAAGGCGTGATGTTATGTTATGTTACGTTACTGTCAAATTATGAACATCTTAGTTTTGGAAACAAGTGTTCGATTCCAGAGTCGCGCAAAGATACGTATTTTGTTAATTATTTAAGTAATAGTAGGGAGTTTGCAATTGTACCTGATATATGCAAATGGTAATACGTGTGTACTAATATACGCAGCTGGAATTTAAAAACAAAACTCGTAATACAAAATACTGTAACTAATTTCACCCTAACTTACCAAATACTTAGACTCGATAGCAGTTAGTTCAGCATCGATTTGTTCTATAGCTTTGACTCCCTCAGCCAGTTTGTCAGTGAGCTGGTTCTCCACCTGAGTCCTCGCTTGGAACACAAAACAACTGAGTAACGCTGCTATCTCTGCCGGCGTCTTGTCTGTGAACACGTTTCTGAAGACCAGCTCAGATATTATCAGCTCGTTTGTACCCATACCGCATGCTACACGACCTGTGAAGGGTTGAAAAGAATAAGGGTCAGTTTCATAGTTCATACAAGTTACGTTACATATTCTAAGGATATCTGTCTACATAGTTATGTGCGCAAGTGCGACTGCCGGGCAAGGGGTCTCCAGTTTGATTCCCGGGTAGGACAAAGTATTTCTGGCGTTTTAAAAATCTCAGTATTACCATGGAGTTATATATCTAAAGCCAGTTATATTTTTATATAAAAACTAAAGGGGTAAGCTAAATAAAACCGTTTAAAAATAACAATTTGTGTGACTGTTCAGGTTCGGGTAAACTACAGAAAGTGTATCTTGACTTACTAGACTATTTTGTCCAACCCGGACATTGAACGCAAGACCTCAAGCTTTCATGCTTATACTCAATCAACTAGCCATTCAAGGAGCTTAATAAAACACAATAAGATAAAGATATATATACCTTTAAGTATAACACTGTCATGTTCATCAATATAGCTGAGCTCCCGTAGCACCATAAGTCGGCGCTGGTAGTCAGGGTACAGTGCGAGGTTCTCGAAAGACAGTAATCGTTTATACTTGTCTCGTTTCCGTTCCGTCAGTTTCCGCTCGTAAACTATCGCGAACTCCGACTTAAAGTTCGCTATATCCGTACTTTTCTTATGATCTTTCAGTTCATTCTGAAATATAGAGCTGGGGTTTAATTTTTTAAGTATTTCGTCTACCGCTGCATTGACACTCGTTTTAACTGCACTGTTGTACGCAAGGCAATACATCTATTGTAGGGAAGTCAAAACTGCACATATGATATCTCTATAATATAAAGAAAGAAACTTTATTTCACGTTAAAAAAACAAGTGGCATGTACAGATCTGTTATTCTATTTGTAGGTAGTGAAGGATACATGTTCATGTTGTTCATGTCTCAAGTCTGCCGTGAACACGTTACACTATTTAATAGTGTAACTATCACGACTTTTTTTTCTTATATGAGCAAATAGCTTCACTTTCAATTTTTTTTTTGACGTTCGAAAGTGCCATTCTGGCCTAATTGAAATAAATGATTTTGACTTTGACTTTGACTATAACTCAAGAACGGCTAAATCAATTTGGATGAAAATTGATGGGGTGGTAGCTTAGAACCAGGAGAAGGGTATAGGATACTTTTATCCAAGGATTTACCGAAAATCGGGAACGGGAAAAACGCGATTGGGGGTACAAGGTCGCGGGCAGAAGCGAGTGTAATATAATAATAACAATAATCATTCTTGGGAAAAGCTTTTATATTACAACTTTTTACTACTAAAAGATACGTAGTACATTCAGCCACTAAAGTCTGTTTTTCTTCAACTGATTTTAACTCTCTTTTCGTATACAAAAACATTCATGAAATTAATTCAACAGAAGTCTGAATAATCTGACCAAGAAGTGCGGTTGACTTTTGTACCTATTTTGTTGAACTTAATTAAAACTACTCAACATACATAATCAACTACGAGAATTCCAACAGTCATAAACTATAAAAATGTATAAATAAACAAATATGTTCAACGTGACATTTATTTTTTATAACTGAACATTTTACATTAAATGCAGCAACACAAAAGCTGAAAAAAGATACTTAACACATTTGCGATAACGATAACGAATTTAAAATACTGAGGGGATAAAATAGAAGAACTAAGAAGGTTTTAATGAATGAATGAACATCTAATTGATACTGGCGAAACTAGAATTCTTTGTATAATATTTATTTTATTATTTGTATATTGGTGAATTTCACCGACTGAATCGATATTTATAGTTTACGTTTAGCCGTTTAACGGAAGTCTATCGCTGAAATACTCAAACGCCACTCAAATTTAAGTCGCGTTAAAATATAGTTCTGTCACTACAAATTCTTTGTAAAATGATAAAGATGGCAGGATATTTAAGTAAAACTTAAAATCAACTAAAAATCGCGGGTGACTCACGTGAATATACTAAGAATAGCTCTACTAGTTTCGAACCACAGAGGGGTTCTCATGAGCAGCGTGCGCGGTCGCGGCGATGTCGCTCACCTACTAATGTACGCACACAAGAATCCCTCTGTGGTTCGAAACTAGTAGAGCTTTTCTCAGTATATTCACGTGAGTATGCCGCGATTTTTAGTTAATTTTGTATGTCTCACGATAGTTGTTATAAAACTTGAAATTGTGTAGCTCTTAGTTTTCGGGCGTAAGTTTGACAAAATACTGAACCTATGTCACTGAAGTTACTAATATTCTAATACCGTGCAAAGGAAAATTTCATACAACATAATATTTATAAAAGACAAAAGGACCTTTGAAAGTACTTCTTTATATCCATCATCGCCAATGCTTGACAAATAAAAATATGCACACATATTCGCAAGAGCAGCTGCAGGCGACTATAGCTCATAATACAATGCACATATAAATCCTAATGGCAAAGCATAAGCTTCATGACATTATTTAATCTCAAATGGAAATTACCTTATCCTGTCATTTTCCTCTGACCAGTATATATGTAACTTAAAGCAAAAATATTATTTTACAACTCCCCTATATATGATGTTATGGATAATATGAAAATTAAATGGAAATATGTAGAAAAGTATTTTCTCCGCTAAACTGCTAATCAATTTTTGTAAATTTTCACCATCATGTCATAAAATTCCTGTATTAGCCTTCTTATCAGCTTTATTTGTATTCTGATTTATTTTTTCTTTATATTTCCATTACTAATAAACTAGCACGCATGAAGTTAGGCATTGTTAACGGTTAGCCTCTATAACCTATGTGTCGGTAGATATTTGACACTATTTCTATAGAGCTTTATGTCAAAATTCTATCTTCCTTACTTCTATTCTCTATGATTCTAGCTCTAGCAGAAAAAAATGGGGTGAATATAAATCAAGCCTTTGAATAGATATTATGAACTTATTCTAGTGTCTATTCACACGGCTTCTGTTTCTGTATCTATTTATTCACCCCATTTTACTGTTTTTCAAATCTACCGATAGATAAGTTATAGAAGGTCACAAAGTGTTAGATAGAACTATTTACATGGATATTTAAGTTGATTTTAGTAAATTAACAGCTATTTATAATGAAAAGAATTATAGTTAATATGATAGAAAATGGCAACTAAGATCTAGCCTGAGGCAGATGTTAAAAAAGCTGTAGAGATATTATTTTTATTTTAGCTATTTTATTAAGTTATTTTTCTGGATCTAGTATAAGATTTTTAGCTATACACAAGACGATCCATGGCTCAAATTGCAGATTGCAGACTATTAAATACTATAGAAACTCATAAAACGATAACTTACCATGCATTTATTCATCTTGTCGATAGAAGAGAGAATTTCACCCGTAGTAATGGAGAGAGATTGCGTTAAGTTCACAAGTTCCAGCGTCGTGGCTCCGGAACATACGGCGTGTGAGATTCGGGATAGCTCCTGTACAGCCGTCGCACAGCTTGAACCTACTGGGGCGTCTTTGAACCTGTAAGAGATTTGTTTCTTTGAAATGAACGTATTAAAGGCTATTATTATGGTTAACGTACCAGGTCATACTAAGGAACAGAGCACGCTATATCGTAATGAATAGGAAAAAAAAAACTAGATTTATTACTATACTATTTTTGAAATCTCCATTTTTATTCATGGAATTTAGTATGGCACTAAGCTCCCCCATGTTGGATGGCGTTCATAACATGTGAAAAGTAGTACACATATAACAATGTGTGCACTTTAACTTATTCCCTACACAGAAAAAGTAGATCTTAGTCAATATTAAAGTCTATGCTTACCTGGGAATTTGCCTCTTCTCCCAATCATCTATAATGACCTTGGGGTCAATTTTCAGACTCATTTTTGTAACGGAAATTATATTCTTAGGTGCAATACATAATATAGTGTGGTCTAAGGTACTTTCTTCTGTGCCTGTAATTCAGAATGCACAACTGTAAGAGGTGGTAATAAATACACGATACACAATTAGTTTCGAGCTCAACCGGGGCCCTTAAGCATTACAATAAAAAAACTTAGCTTGCATAAAAATGATCTAACTAAACAAAAATTAGTCACGATAGTTAGTTATGCTGAAATATTTTCTTGCTTTTTAAGAAAGGTATATATTTAGGAAACAGTAGTTAATAGATATAGGTAAATAAATATAGATAAGATATAGAGGTAGGTAAGTAAATAGTAACACTTACCAATACTGCTGTACATGGCGGAGAAACTAAGTATTCTGTACCAGTTCTCGTCTATCTCGAAGTTGTATTTTGCATCGTCCTGTACTTTGGTGTCTAGTAGGAGGACTTTGTACGGTGTCTGTCTTGGACCTAAAAATATGGTAAAAAAGAAAAAAAGACGGTCGAATTGAGAATGACCTGCTTTTTGAGGTGAGGATTGGTCTATTTTAACTGTAAGATTAGTGAATATGACGCCATTATTATGCTAAATAATTATAAAATTGGATAAAGTATTATAGTTTTTCTAATATTCAATTTCAGTTTTATCAACAGTATATTTTAGAACATTGCCAAAAATACATGAAATATAGGTACTTTTTCTTAATCTTTGAAATGCAAGTCACTACACTCACCATTATTATTCAACAAAACACCAAGTTGGTTCATATAGGGTCCAGCAGAGACCACGAGAACTCTACCGGGCGTCATTTCCTTCGAAATCTTCGCCGTACCAAGGAGTATCGGCATGATTTCATTCAGTACATCGATGTACATTGCTGCAATATCATAGAATGCCGCTAACGGTGCTAAGTGTGACGCTAGTGGTGTACTACATTTCTCTGAGTATTCCTTCTCGGCTAGTTGTAGTTGTTTCCTATAGTTATCCGCTTGACAAATTTGGCTGAACTCCCTGAATGATCGCTGCATCATGCCTTCGACGGACACTGTTGCTGCCCTGAAATATTATAAACAAATAAATATAGGTAATATTGATATTGTAAGACATGGCTGTGTTTAGGCTTCACACATAATTGACGAGAAACAATACTTACGTTGTGTTCAAAAACAAATTCCTAATCACCAGAAAGTCGGTAACGCACTTGTAACGCCTCTAGTGTTTCGGCTGTCTATGGGCGGTGCCGATTGCTTACCATCAGGTGATCCGTCTGCTCGTTTACCGGCTTATACCATAAAAAAGTCTTCATATATATAGGAGTTTTTAAAAGCATGTTTGGACATCTACAACTGCTGAACCCACCACTGGCAACGTAGCTGACGTTAACAACGTTTCATAATACAACTGTCTAAAGCATTTTACGAGTTCTCGATTGAAAGGAAATAACTGACAATTTGTACCTGGCTTACAGGCTATTAGGTTTTAAAAATGAAGTGAGGCTCTTACCGTAACAAACTAAGTATCATAGCGTATGTGAGCCTGAACTGGGAAGATAGTTTTTGTGGGATGCCCAGCATCATGCCCTTGAGGGTGACCAGGTCTGGTACTCCGTCCTTGCATAGTATGATCACAGTGCCCGTGTCATCAAGACCTGGCGACACATCATACATATTATTATATTGGATAGACATCAACATTATCAGTCAAAAGTAAGCCACCATTTGTATCCAATGACGTCCAATGACGACACACACGTAGACAAACAATAAAAAACAAGTTCTTAGGTAAATAGACGCGAATTGGGACATGACTTAATTGCTAGACTGGCCGAAGCACTCGTTTCTCAGAACGCAACCTACTATAATTACAACATCCATTATAAAACATTGAACACATAATACCTCGTCTTCCGGCTCTTCCCGCCATCTGGATGTACTCAGCCGGAGCGAGAACACGTCTCTGCAGGCCATCGTACTTAGTGGTCTCATCGAACACTACAGTTCTAGCTGGCATGTTCACACCCATCGCGAATGTCTCCGTCGCAAATAGGATTTTCACCTGTAATTATATTAGCATTGAGTTCAAAGTTTTATTGCAAAATTTCAATGGTAATTGATTTCTTCTAAACGTACAATGTACCCTACATTGATAACTCAAGTAATTAAAGTCTTTTCGCCACTTCTTCGTGATATTACGTAATTTAAAAAAATACTTACAAATCCGGATTGGAATAACATCTCTACGATTTCCTTCAGCAGTGGCAATATCCCACTGTGGTGAACTCCTATACCATTCTCCAACACCCTTTGTAGTCTTATAACCTAGAACACGATTTATAAAAATTAGATTATTCAAGGTTATTCATTTAATCCTATTAAAAAGTACAGAATGAAAGATAAATTGGAACCCTGTATACAATGGTTCCCTCATGATAGATGCTTTCATTTACCATACATCAGTGATCAATGAAAATAAAAAAGAGGTGAACTTCGTTCGCTAGGCAAATTCAGTGAGCAATGCTAATATAAAAAATCCCATAGAAATATATGAAAGTTGTTGCCTTGACTTACCTGCGGTAGTCTTCTGTCAGGTTCTTTAAGCCTCTGAAGGCACTTTTGGAAGAACGATCTGATATGTCCCTTTTCTTTAGCGGTTGTCAAGTCTACTGACATCAAATTTTCAGCATTCTGATCACACCTGCAAACCAAATCTGTGTAAATTATATTTATTTTAGCGTGACTAGCGAAATTACTTGTCTATTACTTCTAAATATTATTAAATTAATTAGGTTGTACGGCTTATTCACGTAAAAGTTCAACAATGTTGATGACACAGGAAACAAGTATCAGTTGTTGAGTATGCGGCCATAATGGATTCTTGGCATGGTCCGAAATTAGTCGAGTAACGTCGAGCAATTACGAGAATAAGCAGTACAACCTTATTAATATAATTATGTTTCGCGAGAGTTATTATAGAAAAATTACCTACTTCTTTCACTTTAAAGTGGTGAATATTGTTTACTCACCTGTTACGTGACAATGTGAAGGCGACCACAGGTAGCTTGTCTTGCTGCTTCAAATGGTCGATGAAAGCGACCCACATCGTTTGCTCAGCCTTCGGATTTTGGTACATTTTACCTCCTGGTAAACAAAATATTGGATATACCATGTGTTGGTAGAGTTGAGATATAACTTATTTCAGATAAGATTGCCTCGTTAGTCGAGTGGTCGCAAGTGCGACCGCCGGGCAAGGGGTCACGGGCTCGATTCCCAGGTCGGGCAAAGTATTGCTGGGTTTTTCAAATAAATCTCAGTAGTAGCACAAAGTCTAGAATTGTGCCCGGTATTTGGCAATAGGCTCACCCCCTATTACGTGGCACTCAGAACATAAATAGTAAAAAGTGGGTGTTACATTGTACAATAGCATTAAGTGCCGTAATGCACATCTGCCTACCCTTTCGGGGATAAAGGCGTGATGTTATGTTATGTCAGATTAATACCATCATGTTTTAAATTTTGATTATTGTATTTGGTCAATTTTGACCATAATTGTCTAATAAATTCAATTAACAAAAACAAAAGATTGATGATATTCTAGTTCCTTACCTTTCGGGCCGAAATTCTTTTTGTACTCATTCTCTCTGGCCTTCTTAGCGGCTACCGCTTCATTGTATCCCCGTAACTGGAAATTTCCTTCCTGGTCTACTACCAAGAACCTTTCGTTCTTAGACTTCCCACCAGTTCCTGTGAATAACAGACAAATAATGGACGAACTTGAATAAGGTGAGAAATTAGAATGGGGTAGTCTCTTAGCCCTTAATCTCTAACCTAGCATTATGTTAATATTGTGATTATTTTCATTCCTTTCATCTTTATTAAAAAATAACTTCACAATATTATATATTTGAGTATTTACCTGTATACAGATAATGACAGAGTGGTACAGGTCGTTTAGGCGTGGAGACGACGTAGACCTTCCGTTTCTTGGTGCGTCCCACCCAGTCCGCGAACTGCAGTGTATTGGGGACCGTGGCGCTCAACATGACTATACTCACATGCGCAGGGAGCAGGATCAACACTTCCTCCCATACGTAACCACGCTGGAGAGAAGAATATGATACAATTTTTATTTAGACATTAACTGGCTTTTTGTCAAAAATTATGTAGCAATTTTTTTGTATACTAATAGCATTTTTTGCGGTTATTATTTTAATAGAATAGGGTAGATTCCTAAATATTATTTTAATGTCCGTCTGGTTACATTAATTTAAAACTTTAGACATGTATTTTTTCTTTTCTCACAAAATTAAATACTTGAGACGATATATTAATTTGAAACATCGTGTGACGTCACAGCGTGCCACATTTTGTAGCACGTTATGACGTAACAACCTCCTACTCCTAAACTTAGCGCCATTTTATCTAAGTATTGCAACTTAATACAAGAAAAAAAATACGTGAAAAATATTTTTTATTATCTAAGTAACGGACTAATTAAAATTTAAATTTAAACAGTATCAAAATTAAAAACCTTGGAAACTATCCAATTAATTCGATTTCACTTATTCGGAATATAAGGTTTCCTCCATAGTTTTATGCACTTCATGATCTTTTCGAGTAAGTATATAGAACTTATAGCCCGATATTACTACACAAATGGCTACATCCATTCGACAAATCCTCAAATTATAGTTAATTTTGATGATAATGTCTTACCTCAGCATTATTAATATAGTGAACCTCATCGAATATGACAAACTCAAGATCCCTGGTAACATCAGACCCGCAATACAACATAGATCTTAAAATCTCAGTGGTCATTACGAGACAGGAAGCGGTCGCATTGATTTGCAAGTCTCCCGTCAGAAGACCCACTTCACCAAACATTTTGTTGAAATCATTGTACTTCTGATTTGACAATGCTTTGATTGGTGATGTGTAGATTGCTCTGTAAATTGAAAAAATATATTTAGTTATTATTCTACATTTTTCTTTACTTTCAATGCCTGGTCGCATACACGTTCAACGCTGATTGGGCGGCTCTAATGAACCAATCAATCAGAGCGACAAACGTGATCTCGTTTCCAGATTCAGATCAGCGGCAAACATCTGTGTAGATGAGTTTCCCGACTTGTGCTACTACTGAGAATTTAGGACTCAAAATGACAATAATATATTATTTCAGTCAGAAATCGAACATGGATCAAGCGAATGCTGAACATGTAGGTAGTACTAAAACATTTAACAAATTGAAATATACCTGGTGCAATTTCTTCTGGACATGGCTATGGCATACTCAGCAACAACAGTTTTACCGGCCGACGTGTGCGCCGCCACAAACACGTGGTGACCCTCCTCTAGTTTTAGTATTGCCTGGAATTATTTTACAAATCATTTACTCCTTTTTCAGAAACACAAACTTTTTCTTATTTATTTTTTTATTAAAAGTTAAGGTGTTGGTTCTCCCGTTTTTGGTTTACAGTTTAGGCAAAGAAGTCTAAGAAGTAAGTATCTAAGTATGTATATACAATTAAAGTTTTTACAGTCTGAATACCAATAAAGAAACACCTTCAAATGTTTAAAAGGAATTACATATTATTTAGCTATAAAAACAAAATAATATGCAGCAAACTCCATGGAGTTTGCTCTTACTAAACATGTTTAGTCAATTTTTTAGTATTATGTTACCTGTTTTTGGAAATTATCCAATTCAAATGGATAGGTTTGTGCCATATCTTTAATCTTTTCTCTGAATTCTGGTACAGGTTGGGACACATCAATCATCTCGGCCCAATCAGTGGATGTGACTCCTGCCTTGGCTGCTGAGCTGGTAATGTTCAGTACTGGTAACTCTGGCAGTTCGATTGGAGGCCTGATGATGGTGGCTTCAAGGAAATTGTCATTATCTGGGTCATTATCCAGTTCGAGTTTCTTAACAAGTTTCTGTGGCTTGCTTTCCAATACCTCCTCTTCTTTCCAGAGATCTGTTGAATAGTTTTATTAAATTATATTTTCATGTTTTATAAAAGATTTCCCACTTATATTTTCATTTAAAGAGAACATGCAGTCTTCTAATCAAATCTTGATTGAGCTATTTAGTGTTGTGCACGTTTTTAGCTGCAAATATACTCTGAATTGATGTTCAATACATTCACATTGATCAGAAGTGTTTAGTCTGAATTGTCATCACAGTCACAATCGCAGTTAATATGTTGAACACATGTCATACTTAAAATTTGTTCATACAAAAGTAGTCTTTAAAAATCGGAAATAAGGTCCATAATGGAGTTAGTGAAGAGAGGTCACCGATGACTGCTTGATGATTGAGCAATTGAAGAAGAGTTGTTAGTAAGTTGTCCTTAAATTATAAAACTCTTATAAGTTATACTTGCCTACTAAATGAGCATTATTATCAACTACTTCTTCCAGGTTGATCTTTATATGTATGTCAACATTGTCTTTATCTTCTGATGACTTGTCTTCTTTCGGAGCGTTGAGAAGTGTGAAGCCATCATCCGCAAACAATACAGTTTCCTTACATCCAGGTGCTGTGTTTAGAATATCTGGAATATTTAATTAATAAATTAAAATACATGAATATTTCGATTCATATCAGATTAATGATACCTGCTGAATGTGGTAAATAAAATCTGGAAACTTTAAAATGAGAGGCAAAAATAGATAAGTTAAAAGCTCTTTTTTGACAAAAGTATAAAACAACAAATAGAAGGGATGACTCCCTCCATATACAGGTTGTTTTGAGTTTAGTACTCAAAATACCAATTAGTTCACTTTAATTTTATTTGTAATTTGTAATAGCATGATATTGATGCTTGGAAATAGAAAGAAAGAAAAATAATTTACATGTCATTAGGCATGACACACCAAATGTACAAACATAAAATAACAATCAAAAACAAAATTAAAAACATAAAATAACAATAAAAACAATAAAAGCAAAAAAGAACAATATAAAAAAATAAAAAGAGCAACATAGTGGCAACATGCCCATGACAAAAGGGCTTGCCAACTCAGTATGAGCCGGGCACAGTAACACAACCAATACTAAATTAATAACAAACCAAGATAAGCACACAAATGTGTCCTTATTTAGTGGTACAACCAAATAGTTATTCTATGTAATAAATTGACAATTTACTATGTTGTATTACATACCTTCACCCAAAAACTTTCCAGGCTCTTCATTATCCAGGTCAATATTAACATCTCCACTGGCAGCTTCAGCGAGCATTTTCTCCAGTTCCTCCTCAAATCCTGCTGGGAGGAATGGGCTCTGTGTGGTTGTACCTCTGGTTGCCATGCTGGGGGGCAGGGGAGCCCTTGACATGGATAGGTTGTCCTCATCATCTTCCACTAGGATACTCACTTCTTCTAAACCAGTTATTTCACCTGTGAGAGGATCTCTGACCACCTGAAGTGATTGACAAAAATATTTGTTAGCCTTATTTCCTATGAATACTATGCTAATATTATTGTATTATGAATCAAGTCATAAAATGATACAAGTTTATCTAATTAGAAGTTTTTATCTTCTACATAGAATTTAAGATCATCTATAATCTTCCACTTACATTAACTAAGTTTTATCTAACACACTTGAGAATTTAAGTGGCAAGATAATGACACTTATTTTAAGTAGTAACTAGTTTATAGATATTATTAATGCACTTTTACTTGTTATCAATTAACATTGTAAATCTATGTTTTTAATTACCTCGAGTGTGGTGTCGGGTCCGAAATCGTCGTCATCATGAATAAATAGCGAATCGACGTTGCTTTCGCGATGCCAGTTTGATTGTGACCGCTCCCATTGATGTATTGAAAGCCTTTCCGGCTTCAAAAGATAGTCTTTCACCCTTTCATTAAGATCTTCAAATATCGGTGGTAACTAGAACATATTGGACAAAATGAAATACGAATAACACGATGTTTACGCAATTTTTCAAACTGATGATACTAACTTTAAAGTCTGAAAAGTCATTTTCTGTATCTACAGACATTTAAATAATAATTTAAACTCGTATATTGCTTAAAATGCGAGGTTATTTTGAATACACTTTGGATAAATTCACAGAAGAAAATAGCCGAAGATTAATGATCTGACATTAATGACAACTGACAATGTCAAACTTCAAAAGTCGCACTTTAGTAAACAAATCTGTGATTCCCCGATAAAAAATTAGTCCGTAATTCCTATGTAGTAATTATACGATAAAAATTATTATAATAACTTAAAGATAATCTTTTTATATGTTAAGCATTTTTAAAGCTTATGGAATAGCCATTTAAATGAATAATTTGTTTTCACGGTTATCTTTCGGCAATGTAAGTTTTAGAACGAATTAATGTTTGACATTGACACTAAGGTGACATAATTATTATACTGTCACTATAAGGCTGCGTTCATTATTCAGCTTGCGAATATTCGGGTGCGTTCATAACTGGCTAACATCTCACCAACTGCACGCAATGTAGGCGGTATTTGTGCATACATGAAAAGTACACCAACACTTTACTTATAGCGTGCGCATAGATTATATATTGTGTACGTTAGAGGAGATTTGTTGTAAAATAAATAACAATATTTAATTGGTAGAATACGCTAATAATACTGATCCGTCTGTTCGTTTGCCTCCTTTTCCTAATTCCATAGAAAAAAAACTTCGGAGCTGTTGGTTCGAATATAAACTAACGGAAGTTGAAAATAAGAATTACTAATTGTTGGCCGATGTACGTCTATTGTTTTTAATCTAATCAATCAAATCATCATTATTCCTACTAGAATAAAACATTGCGCTACACCCAACAGAAGCCGAACAGAACAGAGGGTGAAATCGCGCAAGAGTTGCTAGTCTAGTAGGCAAGATAAATAGGTAGGTACAGCCAAGATAAACTCTTTGCTGTAGGTATATTATAATCCAGGCAATTTTAATTTTCACCACATTCGTTTTTGAAAGACTGTTTTACCTATAATAGGCATTAACTCATCGCGTACCGGTTTTGTAGACACAATTATAGAACAATAGATTGCGGTCACCGGTGACCGCTTGGTGTTTGACAGTTTAAGTATGTTTAGGTACTCAAGCCAAACTTACAAACGTTTTTTTTAAATCGTAGGTCAACAACTTACGCCGCAGTTAAACTAGGACTAACTAAGACCAAATTATAGAACTTATTTTATAAAGGAAAACCTTTCCTTGAGTTAATAATATATGTAGTTAAACTGCTTACGTCTTACTTAATTAAGGTAGGTACTTAAAGTAGTAGGCTTGAAGAATACTTAAAGACGGAGTGATGTCATATTTTGTGTCGATGGAAATCCGCCAATTTCAGTACCAGTAAGGGCAAGTAGGTATAAATAAATATTTTCTCTTTAGGAAGTTATCCTAAAGATCAACTGAGCATAGTTCGACTACGCCAAGTCTGCATTTATTTTAAATATTCATAATTCATATTATACGTACTTATGTAACTATACTAGATTTTTGCGCACATAAATGCAAGTACTAAAATTAAAGTCAGGTACGAGCATGACATGAATCTAAAAACCGTAATATTTTACTTGATAAGACAAAGTGGAATGAAGTTTCCATTTAATGGGGCAGCCATTAACACATTGACCCATTCCCTTTATTATCTACCTATGTAATAATTACTACAAAGTATGCATTGACCCATGCATTAAAAATTAGAACAAAGCCAAGGTTTATTTAAGAACACTATGAGAAGTGTTAATTATGTTCTAATGGGAACCTATTTAACATATCTATATATATATTTGAATATTATATGACGAATAAAATATATCCGACGATGGATAATTGGATATGTAGAGGTTTACACGTTTGTTAATAAGTAATTTAAGTTACAAGTTGTACTACAGATTCAATACTTCGATGTGACATACTTTTCTAGAACATCTAGGTATTACATACATACTAACATAGATGTAAGTTTTACTAACATTTTGTGAGTCTTGGTTACTTCAAATAAATGATTTATGATTATGATTACATTTAGACTTTCAAAACAAAACATTACGCTATTCTATAATCCTATCCCAGAATAAAACGCATGGACAGGCTCTACTCAATGTTTATTTTTTTAATTCGTATTTATTCACAATCTTTTTTTCTTATTCGTCATAGGTAGCGTTAGGGTTGAAAAAACGGAATCCCTCATGACGATCCGCGCGTGCCTGTGTTCTTAGAGCGCAGTAGGGCACAGTCGTCTCACTGTACATCACTGACTAGTCGCACTGTCATAATAGGGTAGACGACTAATTTTTATTTTAATGTCCGTCTGGTAGATTATTTAAAAACATTAGACACGTATTTTTTATTTTCTTACGGAAACGAATAGTTTCGAAGATATATTGATTTGAAATGTCGCGTGACGTCACTTCTCAGTACATTTTATACTAAGAAATGATGTTTTAGCCCCCACTCCTAAACTTTGATTCGTTTTATCTAAGTATTGTTTTATTATACAACAAAATAAAAAAATACGTGTCTAATATTTTTTTATTACCTAAGTTACGGACTAATTATATTTTTAATTTTCATACCCTGTCATCATCCCCATTGTCATTAAGTTTTTGTTGTGATCGATTCACGTGCAATAAGAAAACAGGGTCTGTATGTGAGTCAGTGAGCCTTGACGGTCAAGGTCATAGAGTGGTCCCCTACTTCAGGCATCCACAACTTTAGCTCACTCTTGTGTTGTCTCTTCGCGGAACGCCACTGATCACCGGTCGCTCGTATATTTAGATTGTCTGCAAGTTTAATCGTGCAGTTTTTTATTGTGTTCTATTAATGTTGATCTGGTTATTATAATGGCGTGCCGATCGTGCGTGATAATATTATGCTTGTTAAATGTGATTCTAGAAGTGGCTGATGTGTTTACTCAGGTAGATATTTTGTTTTCATTTAATTTCATTTAATACGCGATTGTTATGATAATTTTAGGTTCGAGATTAGTTTTAGATTAGTTATGATTTGGGTTTTGAAAGTAACGGTCTTATTGTGTAGGCGGTTAATCGCAAATTGCGGCTAAAATGTTCTTTAAAGGACTTAGATCCGTCTAACGCGGTTTAGATTTAAATAAAATGCCGATTTAAGTCTGAACTTACTTCATATTTAGTAATTTAAGTAATTATTAAGTATTAGGTATCTATTTCGATTGTCGATTAAAACATTTATCCGTTATTGCGCTTACATTCTCTTACGTTATAAGAAAATTACTGTTGCTCACTGAATGGCTTGTATTGGAATTTGTTTCCTTAAGTACTTATTTTCTGCAATATTAAATTAATATAGTGCGCTAGAATGTACGTAGATTTTTATAAGATTAGATAGGTAGGTACCTACTTATTGAGGAAATTAGTAAAACCGTTGTCGTGGATAGAACAACATTTTTTAAATGATCCAAATGTATAATTTGGCTTATTTTACTGGCTTATATTTAATTAATAATTCAGTCTGCTGTTACCGTACCAATATATTATTAATTCGTCCACAGCTTTTTTTACTTATTCATGATTAGTCTTACCTAGCTAACTTTATATGACATCATGCATTGTGTCTCTCAAGAATGCACAGCAGTGTGCTTTTTGTGTTATTTAGCAATTTTGCGTAGGTCAGTATTTCTCTGTTTATCTATAATTAAAGCTCCATTCTATTACTTTGTTGATTTTCAAATTTGGTCAGTTCAGTGACGACGAGGATTCTATAAAGATACTATTAAATCATTAAAATTTAAAATAGTATCGACGAGGCAACGATCCGTCGCTTTTATAGATCATCAGATTCCTGTAAGACGTAGGTACCCAAAAATAAATAATGTCAGGGCTTGTTTTATTTAAGGAAAAGTTAAGAAATAAAACTACTTGCTTATAGGTAGAACTCAGAATATTATGTTTACTTAGGAACATCTTGTTTCAATATTTGAAAACTTATTTAAATACGTTAATGCAATGTTTGATTATTTGATTAATGACTTAAGTATAAATACTTAAAAATACCTACATCACTCATGTCCTTATGTCCACAATACCAGCGGGCAGCGCATGCGCATGGTTAAGATACGGATCGACCAGTTTGCTTTGTTTTATTTATTACACTACAGTTTTAAACTTACACCTTATCACATAACAATAGTTAATTACATACTTTCGCATCATATAGTTTCCGTGCCATTATCCGTTTTTGATTATATCAGTGTGTGGTGATGGTACGCCGGTCGCCGCACCATTGACACATAGCGTGCGTGCGCGCAGTGTTGTGCGGAAAATGTTGTCGAAGCCTCGAAGGCAAAGCGGGAAGCATTTCGCAACCGGCTGGGCAACATAGTGTCTCTCCATGTTTGTACACATCTGAGCGTGTGTCCTTTCTGACACGATATTACATATCATTGCAATCTGCATTGATTTCACAAAACTTCTTGAAGGCAACTTGTTTTATTATTATACCTAGGTATAAAATAAAACAAATTGCTTTATAATTTTATACCATACAACGTGTTTAACAATTGAACAATAATTTGTTATCGGTTGACCGTTAACGAATTTTAATTATTTAATAGAATTTTGTAGGTACGAAGCTAGTACCTAAGTAGCTATTGATACCTATTTTAATTTAACATTTTCGTACGATTTTATGAATTTACTTCTTTGACGATGAATCTAGAAATCGAATTGTTTATTTACTCTTTAAAGTTTGCATTAATTAAACGCGAAAGTTGATCCGGTAGGTAGGTACTAATGAAATTTCACTTTTGTTTTTTGTAGACAATTTTTAAACTGTCTTTTAGTTTCGATAGCGTGTTATTGTGGGTAATTTATGAGATTGGTTGATGGACAAGGCTTGTCGCTTTACAATGGATGTGTGGAGCTCGTGGGCAGTCATGTCATGGGCAGAAATAATTGCTTGTCATTTGTTACAACAGTGAATCAAAATTATGTTTATTATGGAAGATGTTCACCGATATGGGTATGATGAATACACCTGTGCTCCTTGACTGAGTTTCCAATGCATATTTTAGTTTGGGTAATCACAATGTAGGTAGGCGGTTGGTTCAGTCGTTGACTTTTTGTTTGTCAATAAA